ATGCCGTTTCCTCTTACTGTAATTGCTCCGGACATTTAATATAGCTGATTTCATTTACATTTTATGGGGCGGGTTAATGAAACTTTTTCCATTACAATTCAACAATCTGCAATTTTTTTCTCTCTCTGATTTAGACTAATGCAGTATGTGTGTTTGGGATGTTGCGAGTGTGTTTTGGTGTAATTCACAGCTTTGATTTGAGATTTGATAGAGACATTAGCTATGTACTAACATTTAATCATTCTGATACAATGCACTAGATGTTTTTACATTGTACTTATATTTTTTTAAATGCCTGCATAATTGCAGCTATAATTAAGTTCATGCGTTACATGTATAATTACTTTGTTAACCCACCCTTAAACCTAACCACCACCAAACCTGTCCATAACCTTACCCGTACCCGTATCCCACCTCAATAGCAGCAAAAGTGTTTTGGGTTGCACTTTTTTACTGTACTATTTTACAGTACGTGTCTTATAGTGTACTTAAGAAAGTGCTGGTTAAATAGCTACATGGGTTAAGGTTAGGTTTAGGGGCAGGTTCAGGGTTATTACCATAATATAAAGTGTACCTGAGATTTTTTTAAATAATTTTCTTTCAGCACTAAAAGTATTACAGTTTACCTTGCAGCTGACAGTTAGGCATATACAGTATAGAAAGCCTGTTCACATCTTTGATTATGAATCAATTTTTCTCATATTTTTACTAGTATTTTTATTTACACATTTCAGTTTCCAACACAGAGAGGTGTCAATCAAATTTTAGTGGTCTGCTGTAGCTTTTAATCAGAAAAAAAACCCTTAACGCTATTAATTCTAGATGAATTATTAATAAAGGCTGCATGAAACACATAACTGAACATATATCAGTGTGCTGGTCTGGGCTCAGAGCAAATGGCATGTCCCTTGGTCCTGCTTTGATTCCAGACTGGCCATCTGCATGTTTAGACCACAGAGGATCCTCTGAGAGATCTATTCACTGCAGTCCAGCATTAGATTTTGCACATTTTGTAACACTGTTTTGTACATTGTGTCCTTAAAGTCACCATGAAATCAAAATGGACAATTCCCTTTTTATTTGAAGGTTTTCTTGTTACAGTATTGTTATACATTTAAGTGCTGAGTAATATTAATTAACTGTATAAGGTTTGAATTAAGATTAGAGTTTGGTTTAGGCTAGTTGCATCATGTAATAATGCATAAACTGCTGTTATTACTATAGTAAGTATATGTCAAGTCAAGTCACCTTCATTTGGCACTTTTAACAACATAGATTCAGATTGTTTCAAAGCAGCTTTACATTGATAATAGGAAATTAAAGTAGATTGTTTTGGCCGTTGCAAAGATCATTAGTTATTAATTTATGGACTGCTTATCAAAAATTATCAAAATTACATCAAAATCTTATCAAAATTACAAGCAATATTATGAATTAAACTTAAAGCTACACTGTGTGATTTTTACCCCCATCTAGCGGTGAAAAGGTATATGATCATCCAGTGAATATTAGTTTCTGTTCCTCTCAATTCGCTCCTACGGTGGCCAATGTAGTCCAAGATTAATATGGCTTCCAGTTCGACCTCGTCCATAAGTGTTACCTCAAACGTAAATGCGAAAGGCGAAGCTTGAATTAACGGGTATGTCCCTCTTTGGCTAATGTACTTTCAAGATGGAGAGGCAAAATGGCGACCGACATTAGAACCCCTGTACCCGTATGTATTTTCAATGGCATATTATACACTCGCGAGAATACTTTATTACTTGAACGAAGTAAATCTACATTAATGAGCACATACATTTTTGAAAGAACAGCTAAGAATAAACTAAAAGAGTTACACAGTGTAGCTTTAACAAATTAGAATTGAGTAATAATTAATCAAATTAATTCTTTAAAAGTTAACCATTTAAAATGAGTAAAACTTACAACCAAAAAATCATAAATTGAAGTCACCATTATGGTGATCAGTGTTTAGGTTTGGTTTAAAATTTTCTCCTTCAGTGATTCTGCTTGTTAACATCAGGCGTGTTCAATGTTGGCAATATAAAATAAAGAATTCTCAATTAATCTTTGACGTCTGTCTGATATTTTTGTTACATTTTTTGGTGCAAACTTTACTCATTTTAAATGGTTAACTTTTAAGGAATAATTTGATTAATTATTACTCAATTCTAATTTGTTCAATTTAATTTATAATATTGCTTGTAATCTGTTGCCACAATTATATTTATTAGATAAAGCATATTCATTTTTACAGTGTAGGTTCCAAGGTGCAAGCGTTGATGTAATGTGTAACAATGTCAGATAAAGTGTAACCCCTATTTTTTATGTAATGATGCAGTGTTTTTTTTATAAATGATTTATCCCGTTTCAAAAATTCATGTCATTATCTTTAATCAAAATAACTTCCCTTCCCTCTTGCACTGACATCTCTTCTCTGATGATGTGTTTACTGGAATGTGGGCGGGGCAACCTGTCACTCACATGACATCACAGCAATATCAAACCACATCCAATCAGTTTGAAAAAATCAAGTCCCGTCCTACATTTTTTTTTTTGGGGAAGAAAAGACTATCACAACTTATTTTCCATGCTGATTTTAGAGCTACATATGAAGAGTTCAGATGCAAAAGCCTCTAAATGCCATTTGAAATTTTCTTCTAGAATGATCATTTTTATCAAGCTTGTATATTTAAGTTCAGTAATTTCACTTAAATGACAACTAATAGGTAATCTTCATTGTCATTTTGTGAAATCACTAAACTTAAATATACAAGCTTGATAAAAATGATCATTCTAGAAGAAAATTTCAAATGGCACTTAGAGGCTTTTGCATCTGAACTCTTCATATGTTATTCTGGAAAAGATCAAGGTGATCAACTATTTTCAGTGCAAACTTACATAATATTTGGCTTAACAAGGACATAAGTGAAGAAACTGGAAGTGTGGTGTGTTTTGCGGAGTATGTTTTTATTGCTTTCTTACATTTTTCAGAAGGATTGCTGCAAGTTTTATGGCAAATTGAGAAAGATTGTGCGGTTCTCTTTTAATCATACATCCACACACATGTTAAGTATCAACATGACAAATCTATTGGTGCATGGCTTCACTCAGGTCTTACACCACACACACACACATAGGCTTCAGAGGAGGGACTGTAAACCCCTCCTTTCAGACCAGCTCCCATAGGAACATTTTTGCCAGTCCTTCGCCCTCATAATTATAATAAATGTGACATTTCTCAGATAATATTGATTTCTTTATTTTAACATTTCACAGTCAGTGATGGTCCAAAGCATTGAGAAACAGGATGTCTATTGATCTTGGGCTCATGAATCCCTTTCGTGTATGTGATCATTTTTATAAGGCCTTTCTACAAAATATAAATCAATATTCCCATCCTCAAAGAGGTGGGGGCACCGGGGGGCGATATCACAGTACAGAGACCTGACACCTGGAGAGAAACGCCTAAGCTGAAGGAATGTTTAATGATTGAGACTTGGAATATGTTAATGTGTTCATTACCAAACATTTGAACTGTTATTGCATTTGAACTATTTGGTAACGCTTTATTTTGCAGTGTCCTTGTTACAAATGTTACATGTAATAACTAGATTATGCATAATTAACCCTAAACCAAACCCTAATCCTTTAGACCTAAGTACATTTAGTTATTTATTATTACACAGTCTTTAAATGCATAATTACACTCCAACACAGACTACAATAAAGTGTAACCATTCTTATGATCTTTTTTTATTATTATTTTGAGTTATTACATCTCAGAATTAAATTTAGTGGAGAAAACTCCGTCTAAAATGTTGATTGCTTTCTAGGATCAAAACATTTAAAGATAGGCTACATTTTCACTAGAAAATCTGATTAAACTTTTTTTCAGCTATATCTTCAAAATACATCTATAAATTAAACAGTAGACAAAACTATTGATTTGTTTCCATCCCATAATTAAATGATACTTTGTTCGGAGGGAAGAAATCTAATCTTGAAACAAGGAATGACCATCATTCATTTAACAAACTGAAATCTGGCTTGGGACATTTGCACAGGCTCACAATTAAATGAAAAATGTCTTCAAGATGCATTTAATGGTTAAACTGAATGTCAAGACCAAACAGAACTAGCAACATCTGTGTTTAATTGAGTGATGTCATTTGTTTCTTTATCACCCACATAATGAGAGAGACTCCATACTAAAAGAGACTCTGACAGTGAGTTTGGTCGACTTCATATCTCTGCTTTACTTCAGCTTAAAATCCATTTGCACATCCTTTGTGTAAAAGTATTGATTCTGCAAATCGGAATTTTTGTATATCCTATAATTTATGCGCCTTATTCTGGTGTTGCACAAAAAATCGTAACGATGTCAACGCGATGTTTCCACTCTCATTTGAAATGATTCACAGGCTGTTGCATCCTGATTCTGTTTTGTTCTTTCCACTGTTCAATATAGATATGACCTTTTAAAAAGTTCAGGCTACACTGAGAGACGGACCTGCCGTTATCCGCGTAATTTCATAGGCTACAGCACTGTGTTGCTACAAAATCTTCGTGATAATTTGGGGTATAGCCTATAAGTTGGCTATTAGTGAAACTTGCAAATAAGTAGCCTATTAATAAAGAAAATAATTTGGTCGCTGACTTCGAAATAATTTAAAAACGATCAGTCGTAAATTTAATTCTAGCCTACATTTTAAATCCGTTGTCCTTCTTAAATAATTTTGGTCATGAACGTTATTTTATTTGATGCCTTTTTTCCCTTTGTCTTTGAAACATTAGGAGGTAATTTCATTCTAAAATTATTCGAAGCTGCCAATACAAATATCGCCTCCGAAAATATGTTTTTTTCGTTTTAGGAATTAATGAAATGATGTAAGGCTGAAGTACTTCTCTAGAATAAAAAAAAACTTTCATAAGCAAATTCGAAAATTTTAATTGAACATATAGCCTACATCGAAAGTGATCTTATTGACAAAACGAGATAAAATATATAATAGTTAGGTTTATTCAGCAAATACACTAGATGAGAGAAGCTTAACATAGAATGCAGTGCAAAATCCATAACATCATAGAAAACAATGATCTGAAATATATAAGCATAGTGTTAAGAATTTGAAACCAGTTGCACGTAAACCTCATGGACATTAGCCTATTTCAATATGAAATTAATACAAAGTGCTGGAGAAATGTAATAGCTCAACGAATTACATGCATACTGTCTGAACTGTAAAAAAGCGATTCATGTCTTCATAACAATATAATTCACTACTCAAAATCATAAACACAAAAACGTGCTATATATGTCTGTATCCACTCTGAAGTCTGAAATGTTGCAGTTTTAAAAATCCTATGTGCACTCTGATACTATAATGCAGAATGACTTAGATAGTGGTTAATAAAGTACCTTGGCGGAATGATTTGATCTCTTAAATCATTAGGCTACATTTTGCATGACACTTGTAAAGTTATAAACGCTTTGCAGGGAACATAAACAATATGACGCGTAACAATACAAATACATTTCCACCACGCGGCATTTTTTTTCAGTATATAACTGAACACATTTTAAACAAGCATAAGAATAGTCCTTTATTTTATCCTCAATTTTTTGAATATCTGAATAATTTATTTCCTCCGCGGTTCTCTTGAACAGGACTGTCCCAGGCAGCGCGCGCTCCGAACGTTATAAAATAGGCTACCATCCGCCAGTTTCATTTCTTCAAGTCCGACACATGGAGGAATCATCAAAGTTTTATGAACCCGTCGCAGTTCAGTCGAATGTTCAGAACGGCAGAGTATCGTGAAAAAGCTTGTCAATGATCGCAGGCGTGGGAACCAAATCCTCCAGTTTCAAGTAAAAGATGCGCTGCAGTCCCTGCGTGCACAGCGCGCGCACCTCCGGCAGTTTCTCCAGAAGTTTCGACAATTCACCACTGCAGGACACTTGATCCTTCAGACAGTTTATTAGCTTGGTTTGAAGGTCTTCTGTTTTCTTGGGCTCTTTTAGTCCATGTCTCTCTACGAGGATAAAAAAAACAACCAGTCAGAGGTATGAAGCATGCTGGATATTCTGTGGATCACTTGAAAAGGTCAGACATGTCTTACCTGTTACTATGGTGAGAGCGGCTATGCAGGAGAAGGCAGAGACATCTATGCTCATGCTCTGAAGGTTAGAAGAAAACTCAACAATAGAGTCGATCCACTCCCCAAAGCCTCGCACACACTGCAATTTGTGTAAAACCACACCATTGCAAAAAACAAGTTTGTCCTCTGCCAGGTTAGATCTGAGGAAAAAAAAATGGTCAAATGATTCGTCTTTCGAAAAGTATTTATAAACAAACAATGAGTTGTATTTGTCATGTACATACCTGTAAGCCAGTCGCAGCACAAAAAGTTCAAGGAAGGCTGACTCGAAAAGTAGTTCCTGGTCGCATTTGGGAAGGTCAGTAAACCCGGGGATTTTTTCGGCCCATCCGCGAATGATGCTCATTGAAGCAGTGAGGAGATCGTAGAACTGCTGGATGTGCAGAGATTCATCTCCTGCACTGTGATACTCTGGACTCGTCTGAAACTAGGATTTAATACAATTTAAAAATAGTATTAGCAAAGGCGACTCTTATAATGTGTGAATTAATCTCTCACAATTTACCATTGTATTATTATCACTTCTGAAATTGGTCATTGAATTTGAAATAATTGCATGCGTTAAATTGTGCTCACTTTAGAGTAGTCCAGCCGGGCCATAGAGGGGTTGGAGTCTATATGCGCTCTCACTAGGGCGTTCAGGAGATTGACGGGTGTCATAGAGACAGGGATGTCCTGCGGGCTTTTAGGTTTGGAGGGGAGGCGACCTCTTCGGCCTTTTAAACTGGCTGTTCTCACAACTGTAAAAACAAAAATATTGGTTATAAACACTGCGACACAATATGAAACATCTCTGACAGGCTCAACTTGAATGAAATCACCTACAAAACAGAAAAAGTGCGTGACATTACCTTCCTTTACCATCCCTACGACCAGGCACTTTTGAAAACGGCAATACTGGCATCGATTTCGCCGCCTTTTATCCACAGGACAGTTTTTGTTTGCCAGACAGACGTATTTGGCGTTTTTCTGCACGGTGCGCTAGAAAGGAACAGCACATGTTTTAATTGCATGTAAATCTACTCAATTCGCATTGCAACAACTTGAACTGCAATCACAGTGTGAAGTTACAATAGAATAGGACACTCAAACCCTGCACTCCAACCCAAAGCTGCGTAATACATTCAAGGGCCGGACAAAGCAGACATTCGGTAAATACAGATCCGTGGGCAGCCATAATTTGGGGTCCCCCGACGCTCTCTCCGCGACCCCTCTTGTCGGATTAGCGAGATTATTCTATCACGGTGGTGACATAAAGAGCTGTCTTAATGTCACCGCTGGGAGTTCCGTTACGCTCGGTTAGGCGCGATTCGACTCTCAGCGCAAACCAATTTAATTCTAGACGAAAGTAATGGTGGCGGAGATGAACGGAGGTGTCCCTAGGTGCATATGGGGTCAATTCAATACAACTGAGATAAATACTGTAGAGCCAGTTTTAAACCATGCTTCTTTTCGTTCAAATATCTTTGGACTGCAAATGTATCCATGAACTATACAATATACCCTTGCGCAAAATAAACACATGATGTCTCTAATTGGTTAATAAGTGTTGAACTTGTACCTTGAAGAATCCTTTGCACCCCTCGCATGTGCGCACCCCGTAGTGCTGGCAGGCGGCGTTGTCCCCGCACACAGCGCACAAACCCTCGCTGGACGGAGATCCTCTTGCCTGGGGTGAGGCCACCGGGCTTTCCAGTAAGGGATGTCCGACGTTAAGCGAATGGGGTAAACCCACAGCGTGCTGTTTCCTCGGAGGTCCCGCTAAAGCAAAACTGTCCAGCGCGCGATGCGCACCCTGGGTGTCCGGGCCCATGGACACGTGCAGAGACCCATCAAAGCGCATCTGGCAGCTTGACATCGGCGTGTCAGCGGGAGACTGCTTGAACGAGAACAACCGAGACATCGCGTTTTTCCTCTGCTGGTCTATCATGTGTGAAGTCGCAAGGTAGTTCTGATGAAAGCTGTGAAGGGACCCGCTGTCTTCCCACGTGTGGTGTGGAGGCGCGGGGAAACTGGGCGATTGGGAGATGTTTGGGGAGGATGGTTTATAGTACAAAGGTCCGGTGTGGGGTATGCTCTCCTCAGCCTGGTGCGGTTGATGATGATGGTGGTGATGATGGTGGTGCTGCTGCTGCTGCGGATGGTAGCTGTGTGCGGGTATCTCCTCCACCTTGATGGACAGCTGATCCCCAGAGTGGGACATTTGGTAGAGGCAGGGAGGCTTCACGTCGTAGCTGGAACTGTAGGTGTCCACAAAGGTGCTGAAACTGGGGAGCGAGGAAGTGACAGCTATCTCTGCGTTAGTCAGGTCCATGCTAAACTTGACAAACTCCGGTGTTAAGAAGTCGCAGTTGTACTCTCCCGTGGCGTTGTAGCTGTAACTCTGAGATGCAGGGCTGGCTCCTGGAGGTGATGTCCCATACTGAGCCTGGACGCAGGGCATGGCTGCAGTGTTAGAGAACTCAATTGTAATGGCTTTCTTTGGCAGGGTGACATTTGTTCACATGTTTATAGCTTAATACTAAACTAAAATAATATTAAAATAAAAAAAAATGTATTCATTCCCACTGTTAACTTTATGCGTATAAGATTGAAACACAATTTCCATCGGAAAGTATGCAAACTTTATGACATGCGTTTCCCTGGCCTGCTTTAGTTTACCTCCGCACACCTGCTACTTATATCTCTCGTGGAACAATCGCAGGTTGATGTCAGAAGCGTGTCTTTCCGTTCTTTTGCTTTTCTGTGAAAGAAATATTTTATCAGGATTTTTTTTTCTTCCAAGTATTAAGATCTACAATGCTTTAAGAATGACAGTGCGAGTTACTTTATATTTTTGTGAGATCAAGGCACATCAACTAGATAAAACTAGATCTACCTTAACTGTGCTGGTAATATTAAATATTAAAATAATAAAATTATTGTTTTAAAGGTTCAAAACTAAAAAAAAATGAATAGCTATAAAGTTAAGAAACGGTCATGTATTTATTATATATATATATATATTGCTTTAAAATCTTGCCAAACATTCTGAAAAGCATTTTAAACAGTTTTATTGGTGGATCTATTCTCTGTTACATACCTCAAGTCACTATAAGAGTTGCAAATGATGTATCCATGTAGCTGTTCCTGTTGATAGAAGTTCCGTTTGCATGGAGAGCCGATGCCTTTGCGCACCTTACTCCTTCGACTGCTCGTGGAGACTGGAGCCCGAGCGCAATGTGCCTTTGTTTATGAGAACTCTGAATGCCACAGCCCACGTGCTATGAGGGAGTGACGTCAGGTGCGTCATCGCTTGACGCGCGCTGATCAGTGGACAGAGGGACTGTTCTTCAGCTCGCTCATTGCGCACTGCGCGCAATTCAATCCTCTGCGCGTTTGCATATGCGGGACTGTCCACTGGGTCAAATGAGATGAATTTCCAACACATTATTTCAAATCATTTCCAAATATAGAAACCACCTACAAGAGATCATATCTCATGATGATTTAAATCAATGAAGTGGTTTTTGTTGTACTATTTTGGGGAAGCGCCATGCAGTCAGCATAAATATAGCACATCAACGACTCTATCGTCCGTTTTATCGCATTCATAAAGGCATGCAGCGATTATTGCTGGTAAATGAAATGTTCTTATTTTCAACACACATTTAAAAAAGAAAAGAAAACAACAAATTAAAACTTCAATAAAAAAATAAAATTACAGTGAAAAATTACATGAATTTAATGCAATATATAGTTGATGCGAGGAAAATCTATAAATGAGTCTTATTTGCTCATAAACAAAACGATAAAAATATATAGGCCTAATAAAAATACAATATTTCGCATTATAACGGATTAAATCTGATTATCGCTTTGAATCTACGGATTTAGGACAAGAACAGTTCAAAATAGTGACGCCATATCTGTTTTTTGACCTGTATCATGCTTAGGGAAAGTTTCAATAGCTTAGGATGCGTTTCATCTGATTCCGTTGCTCTGTCTGAGCGGTGAAGGGTTTCCATTGTGAGAAGGGAATCCCGCTGTAACAGAGGCAACTTTGTTTGGACTGAAACGAGCTGCGTCATCGCTACGTCAGCAGCTTCCAACTCCGTGACGCCTGATGCGGTCGCGCTGAACGTTTTTAGGCTGAAAGTCTCACCTGTGCAACTGACACGATAAAACAAAGCCGTGTGACGAACCCTCTGAAACAAAATTGAAAAAATTCCCAAAATACACGCAGTCCTATACAGTGTCTCAGTTTAGCTATTGTTCAACATTAACTTACATAATAGAGAAAGTTATAGCTGTAGGCTATACATATGTTATAACACATATGTCATGTGCAATACAATCTAAATGAATGTGTTGTTAACTTCTACTGATTAACTGGGAGATAAACTGTAGAATACTGTGAGTTAATCGGTGTCTTAGGGTGTGTTTAAAGATGGTCAAACGCTTTTCTATTATGCGTGCCGTCTACAATTAGATGCCTGTAAACGCCTTCCTAAATTTGATTGGACGAGAGCTTTGGATCCTCTAAACTGATTTGTCCATCCACCTGTCTGTCAAATACTTCCTGTCATTGTACTTCCTGGAATCCTGAATCAGAAACAGTTGATACCTTCACTGTCCATGATTTTCCTTTTTAGAAATCATCATCATCACCGTCGCCAAAATCAGTAAGTAAAAGACAGGGGTATCGCCATATTTTTTGCTGTATTAATTTACGTCGTTTGTTTGTCTATTCCTGGATGCGTGCGAGCCACCCACTGTTGCTCAATTCTTCGTATGTCAATTAATTTGAAGTACACAATGCCTTTCCACAACTTACAATTCATAACTGTAGGCATTGCTTTATGTTATCGATTTTACGTTGGCTACTGTGTATTTCCAATGAATTCGATCGGTGATGATTTGACTCGATGTCAGTATCATGTGATGGACTGCATAGATTACCGGTACATGAGTTTGTATTCTTCTCACTGTTGACTTTTAGATATGTGTTCTGTTGTTCTGTTCTGTTGTTTCTAATAAAATGAAAATGATTTGATGAAGGGTTTTAAACTTTGAACATATTATTGAATGTGGCCAGAAACAGTCTTAATGTTTACAGTCAAGCCTACTCTCATATTCATGACTGGTGAAATAATAACTTGTAAGATCCCTCTCAGACATTGTGGCTCCTCTCTCTCTCTCTCCCTTCCTCATGGTTGGCCATAAACAGGCCATGCGGGACAGGCGTGAATTCAAACAGTGTAGTAAAAAATGACTCATTCACTTCCTGTAGTATCATGTAGTGATATGACTTGCATCCCTACCTGCATCAAGTCGAGATATTATAGGTTTACTTTGACCTTCACCAGAACCTGTCTTTTCTAGGATTCATACAGTAGTCATTTACACAAACTGAACTTGGACAGTTGACTGTTGTGAGTTTGACACAAACACCAGGGAGGTTCGGAGCAACTGTGACAGGTTTTGTTTTACATCACGCCAAGGTCATTGAATGTGACCGGGAAGTCTGTGCTTTTTTTAGTTTCTCAATATGACTGACTTATATAATGTACATATGCCCCCTCATTACCAGAATTGCAGGTGTATGTTTATTTGCGCTCTCTCTTATATTATTTTGTAATTAAATATTTTTGAGCATTGCTCTTTTTAGTTAATTAAGTTTCATTTCAAGAAACCAGAAAGGGGGCAGACAAATACTGTAGACCCAATATTTGACAAATAAAAAAGTTCTCTGGATGTTTCAAAAAGCATTTATGCATTAATCTTCTAAATCTGTTTCAGGGATCAATGGCTTTCAGGAAGGCAGTGAAAGGAACCCTAATAGGGGGCGGAGCCTTAGCAACAGCCTTCAGCCTATCACAGTTCTTTGAATACAGGAAGAATCAGGTATATATTTACAGTAAATGGCACCAATGTTGTCACTCCGAGTCTGTCTGAATGTAAAGTTAAATTGGCCAATTCTTTTGACAAAAACCAAGAATTTTGTTTTCACATTTCACATCCATACAGTGACTCCTACAGGTTATAGTGCAGAATACACAGAGCACAGCTGTTCACACCCATCTGTACCGCAGCATGCCTGGTCCTGACACAGGAATGTTCTGTCTGTGTGTTCACACGACCTTAAAGATACATAATTGGGTCACATAGGACAGTACAACTCAGGCCTTGTATTTTTTTTATCAACTTATATCTATTTGTAACTATTCCCTAATTATAATCCATGAAGGGTTATTTATGTTTTCATGTGGTCAACAACCTCATGGAGCAGATTTCATGAATGTGACTAAACCTATAGCACATCCAGATACATTTACAAATCTCATTTGTACCTTTAGGTATTGCCAGGTCTCCAAACTCCAAACCCTACCGTATTAAAATCAGGTTTTGTTTGCTAAAGGGAGATTACACTTGAACAGTGATACACACATTGTTTAAAGGATCTCTCTTGAATATGTAATCATGAACAATCTGATCCCCATTCACGCCATCAGGGAGTGTGTCACACACCATGTTCTGTCTGTATTTAAACTAGTAAGAACCCCAGGGGTCTCGTCTGTTTAGACGCTATACCAAATAACGGAAGGTCAAGTAGATTAAGATAATCAACAAGGCTTTCTGAAACAAATGAAGAAAAAAAAAGACAGACTCTTGAAGAGCAATGGGAGTCCTGATTTTCTCTCTCATCATTTATTTAAATCTTCCCAAACCCATTTTGTCCATTATCTTGCATCTCAACTGTTCCAATCCCAATGAAACTCCAGGGAGCGAGAGAATTATGCTCTTTCAAGGACGTGGTTGCCATGGAGATTGTAACTACACGATTAATTTGGTGAAAAAAAACAGTTATTGAAGATCTAGAGTTTAGATATTTTTCTTAACTGTCAATTTTCAATTTACTGAGATGATTTGCAGAGATTTCTTTCTCAACGACTTTACCATCAGTCAATCAGATCACCTTCTTCACGTCTCATCTGCATCCCATGTTAAGCGTTTCACTGACACAAACTTTTGTTCTGATGTTTCTCCATTTATTTATGTTTATTTGTCCCTCGTGTCATCTCAATGCAGCCTAAATGGGTAAGCAAAAGTCAAAAAAGAAAGAACGAATCTTCTTTCCAAAAATTGCTTGCAATCATGCATGTGGCAGATGCTAATCTTTGAGATTGTGATGTTAATTTGTTGAGTGTGTGTGTGTGTGTGTGTTTGTCTGTTCTATGGCAAGGACACTGTTACACTCTCACTGAAGTATCACTCTGCGGTGGCCGATTGCGTATTTGCATGAAATTCTCTGTTTCCGTCATGCACTTGTCCTGATTGCAGGACAGCCTCTCTTAATAGTGTGCGGATGTTTTAAATATGTCTGTCCTTGGAAATAGACACTAATTACTGAATCTTGTTTTTACATGCTATTACGGTCTAAATTGCAAATGTCTGCGCTCATTTGGTCATTTGCAAGTCAAATGGACCCTACGGGCTTTTGGGGGCAGATTGATGTAATCATTTAGGCCAAATGCTAAAGAAAAGAATGAATTAAACGTTTCATCATGGCTAAAACCCTCGACACCTTGCTCTACCCGAGCTTGTTTTTTCTGCCTTTGAATTTACGGCTGAGACTTTTTTTGGCGTTCATGTGACTGATAGATTGGCAGCTGTTCATTCACAATTTCATAGTGTCATTTTTTTCTGACTTTGCAAAAACACTTTTTCAGTAAAAATGTAGTTTGGGGACCGATTCACATTATTAACTAGTTGCTTATTAGCATGCATTACTAGCGTATTATTGGCTGGTTATTAGTACTTAACGGGATAGTTCACTTTGAAATTAATTTTTGGTATGTTTTAGCTTACCTCAAGGGCATCCAAGATGTAGGTGTCTTTGTTTCCGCAGTAGTTTCAATTTTGATATTTTTAGGTCAAACCGTTCTTGTAGGTCAGTCATATAATGCACGTCTATGGTCACCACCTCAAAGAGCATGAACAGAGAAATCCAAATTTAAACATGATTTAATGACTCCTAAATGTAAGTACACATTGATGGCCTAAGACACGAAACGAGCGCTTTGTGTGAGAAAAACGAACAATATTTATT